GAGCACCAGACCCCAAAGCAGCCCCACTGCCCCCAGCCCACTCACCTTCTTGAAGAGGCAGACGGTGTCTGCCGACAGCCCGTACGCCTCGAACAGCTCATCCTCCTTGGTCACACCGAACACCAGATCCTCCATCTCTGCGGCCACCTCGTGGAACGCCCGCGCTGCCTTGCCATGCAGGTCCTGCACGTCTCCACCATCAGCGCCGCCGTGCCCGCAGCCCAGCCCTGCCCGCCCCGGCCCCAGCCCACCTTGAAGAAGCCCACCACGGCGACGTCCTGCGCGCTGATGAAGGCGGCTGCGGTGGCGGCGTCGTGCAGCAGCGTGGCGCTGGGCCCGGCCCGGCGCTGCATCCAGAGCACCATGCCTTCAGCATCCATGCGGCCTGAACACGGAGCGGGGCTGCACCGGCCATCACAGCCACTGCGCCACCACCTCACCGTCTGTCGGGATGCCGTCACCCCTTCACCATCACCTCCCCACCTCCCTGCCCTCACAGCACCCCGCACAGCCCTACCGCTGTATGCCACGGGGTGGGTGCGATTGCCATCGCGGAAGAGTTTGAGCGTGGGGAAGGCATCGATGTGGAACTCGGCGCTCAGGGCTGTCTGTGCCACGGCGTCCACCTTGCCCAGCCGTCCCGCCTCTGATCCGTTCCTCAGCAATGCGGCCGCACGGGCGAACTCAGGGGCCAAACGGCGGCAGTGCCCGCACCACGGAGCGTCTGCGCAGGGCCCGGTGTCACCACAGCACAGCCCGCAGGAGGTGTCCCCAACCCAGGGGTGTCCCCAACCCAGGGGTGTTCCCAGCCCAGGGCTGAGGCTGAGGGCACCTAATGGCACATATGAGCCGCTGTGCCCATGTCTCGTATTCCCACCTCGTGTCCTCTGCCACAAGGTCCATGCCTCTGCTGTCCCCCCCACCCCATGACCTTGCCCTCTGTCCCCGCTCCACCTCTCATGCCCAGTGCCCCTCTGCCAACCCCTATCCTTCAGGCCCTCACATCTCACACCCCGCAGCCCTGCCTCCTCCCCCCCTGCCCCGCAGGCACTCACAGAACTCCACCAGCAGCAGCCGGTGCTCACGCAGGGCACGAGCGAAGTTGTGCTCATGGAGCACCAGGACGCCGTCCTCCTCCTCCAGCTCATCCGAGAGCACCTCATCCTCTTCATCCTCCTCCTCCTCCTCCCCCCCCACCACTTCCCCATCCTCCTCCCCACCCTCAGCCCCCCATGCCGGGCTCAGCCAGGCCAGCGATAGCAGCAGCACACACAGCACCGCGCCGCCCCGCATGGCGCCGTCCCACTGCCAAAGCCTTCGCACAGGGAGAGGGGCAGATAAGGGCGGCGGGGCGGGAGGTGCTGGGCCGTGGGAGCTCGTGGCCCTCCGCTACTGGCTGCCAGCACGGAGATAAGGCAGCGGGCAGGTGCTGGATTTCCAGGCACGCGTCCCTACGGCAGGCCCGGGAACACGGACACGGCAGTAAGAGACACGTCTGTAGGGTTTAATGGCGATGGAGGAGCACAGCCTGCGGCCGGGCGCAGCTCAGCGCACAGCAGTGCACGGCGATGGAGGTGCCGCGAGGACGAGTCGGGCGTCGGTATCAAAAAAAAACAGCGATTAAAAATAACTTTGGTTGCCAAGACCACGACCGCGGGCGCCCGCTTTGCTAAGGGACCCCTCCACCTTCCCGTCGGTGGGGCGGCGCGGGCGGCAGGGGGTCCCCGGGCGGCGGGGGGATCCCCGCAACGGTGGGACCGGGGGGGGTCTCAGTCCTCCCAGCCCTTCCTTATGCACAGGCCCCACTCCCAGGCGAGGTGCTCCGTCTTGTCATCGTCGGTGACCAGCGAGCGGACGCGGTAGGAGCCACGCACCAGCCGGCCCCGCGGCACCTCCTCGGCCGGCGTCACCACCTCGTACTCCTCGGCCCGCGGTGCGTAGCTGCCCACCATGAAGACGTCGCGGTCCACTGGGCGAGAGGGCGAGAGGGGTTTGGTGAGCAGGGCCAGGCGGTGCTGCCCCATCCCATCCCTGACCCCACTCACCCGGCCGGCCGCGGCGGTACGTCAGGTGCAGGCACTTCAGCCCACAGACGATCTCCCTGTTCACCTGTGGGCACAAAGGGGCAGTGAGAGGCTCCATGTGCTGGGCTCGGAGCACCCACCCTACAGCCACCAACACCACCCTGCGATGCATCTCCTTGGGATGGGCACTGAGTGATGCTGGGGGCAGCGTGGGTCCCCAGGGTGGGCAGTGACCCCCAGAGAGGCACAGAGCCCACAGGTGATGTCAGGTGCCCACGGAACCTTACCTTGAAGGACACCTTCACCCTGTAGTCCACCCCCTCCTTCAGCACAAAGGGACGGCTCTGCAGCACTTCCAGGTCTCCTGTGGGGGGCAGATGGTCCGTCAGCATGGCACCCGTCCTCCTCCTCCTCCTCCCTTCTGCCATGGAGGACCGGCAGCACTCACCCGTCAGGTCCATGGTGATGGGCCCCGGCGCCTGCTCACACATCAGGGTCAGCTTCGTCACCTGCACGTTGGGCACGCTGGCATCTGGGAACAAGTGACGCAGTGTGGCCCCTACCCATGGAGTTGACACCTCGGGCCGCAGAGCAGGAGGGCTGGGGACTCCTGGGGAGGATGCCCATGTGCCCCAAGGGGCTGCGTGCAGCAGCCAGAGGACAATGGGTTGCAGGCAGCAGGGCACCTCAGCCCAAACCCTTTGTGGATGAGCCCATGTTAAAAGCCCCGCGGCACAGCCCAGCCCACGTAGGCACAAGGGCAGCCCCTGGCTGACAGCCCCCCCGCGGCCGCTCGCTCCATCTCCGCCATCCCGATGAATTCCCCGGTCCCTCGTAACCGTTCCTATGGCAACTGCAGCGGTGATCCTGTAACCAAGGCAACCGGGGTCCCCGGGCAGCGTTACCCACAGCAGGGGATGCCGGGGTCTCCCTGCAGCGGGGTGGGCACAGGCAGCGCCCGCGGGTGACGCGTTTGGGACGTGCCCTCCCTATGGGGATGCCTCCAGAGATGGGGGCACCGCAGCTCCCTGCACCCGCTGAGGCTGCATCACCCAGTGTGACGTGTCGGGGTGATGGGATGCTCAGGGCGATGGGGTGATGGGGTTCCCAGCCCCAGCCTTACCCACAGCCACAGGGATGTTGCCCAGCAGTGCCTGCTTGTACTTCCGCAGGCTCTCATCCCCCGGGTCCAGCTCCTGGATCTCTCGCAGGCTCTTCCTCTCTGGCGTCTTATACGCCAGGGCCACGTCGGCATCCTCCTCCTCCTCCTCCAGCGACAGCATCACCCCCTCCTTGTCAGCCATGATGTCTGCAGGGCACAGGCAGTGGCAATCTGAGGACACCCTGGGGACCCCCATGCCCCAGGGCACACCGGCACTGCCGGGCTGGGGGAGATGAGCTCAGATGGATGCGGTTGATGGCCCCCAAGCTGCCATGCAGCAGCCGTGCCATCCCCCTGCTCGGGGCCACGATGATGCCACCAGGCTGCGTGTCCCCAGGGCTGCGTGTCCCCAGGGCCCGGTGGCACAGCAGAGCCCAGAGGCGGTGCCGCCGGTTGCGTTTCCGCACAGCCGTGCAGCGAGATGAGCCGCGGTGCTGCGTGTGTGCGGCTCGGGGTGCGTTTGCAGCCCGCGGCGCCCTTCCGTGCACGAGGTTGGTATCCCCACCGCCATGCAGCCCGCCGGGCTCTGCATGCCCCACAGCCCCGCCGGCTGCAGGCACAGCCACAAACCCACTGGGCCGGGGCCGACGGTGGGCGCATGTGGGGCGGGGGGGACGAGGGCCCATCCACCGCATCGCGCCCGACTCTAGGAGTCCGCAGGGCCCCGCGCTCAGCCCCGGGCTCGTCTCCAAGCCCCGGGAAAAGGCAGCGGCCCGCACCTCGCGACACCGCACCGGGATGCAGCGCCGGGGGCCGACCGGGATGGGCGCCGCGGGGCCCCCCGGGCTCTGCCCCACCTGTTGTCGTCGGCTGCGGGGGGCGATGTTCGGCCCGCGCTGTAGCCCCCCCCCACCCTCCCGAGCACCCGGCGCTGCCCCCCGCCCGCTCACCTCGGTAGCACAGCGTCAGCCACAGCAGCTCCAGCAGCTGCCCGCCCGCCTCGCACACGTCCAGGCCGAGCATGGCCGGGCCGCGCCGGGCCCCCGGGGGGGCTCTGCAGGGGGAGGGGGGTCCCGCTGCTCCGCTCCCGGCTCCCGCTGCGCTCTCCCCGCTGCGCTCGGCGCTGCCCGGCGCGGCCCGGCGGGGCGGCGGCGGCGGCGGCGGTTCCCGCAGACGCGGCGGCTCCGCTGCCCGCCCCCGCCCGCCCCCGCCCCTCGGCGCCGGGCGGCTCCAGCCCCGCTCATGGGCGGTGTGACTGCAGTGAGCTCATCCGCCGCCCGCCCGCACCGCGCCTGTCCGCACTGCCCGCGCCGCGTGCTCTGCCCGCAGCCCCGTCCCCCGCCCGCACACCGCGAACCGAGCGGCAGCCGCGGGATCGGGGCGTCTCCTGAGCCGGCGGCGCTCGGCGCCGTGTCCTCAGCGCACCCGGAGCTCTGTCCGCACCCCGCATCCCCTGCCCGCACGCTGCGAGCGCTCGGCCCGTCTCCTGAATGGGCCTTGAATGCGCCGTCCGCCCCTCGCGTGCACCCCGCACGCACCCCGCGCACATCCCGCGTACCTCCCGCATGTGCGCACCGTGCACATCCCGTGCACCTCCCGCTCACACACACCCCGCATATCCCGAATCCCCCTGCATTTACACACACACCCTGCACACCCATACACCTCCTGCACACTCACACACACCCCGCACATCTCCTCGCTCCCCGCCCTCACCCCGCCCGCCGCCCCTCGTTGGGCTCCTGGACCCGACGGCCGGCCTCTCCCGGCCCCGCACGGCCCCGCACGGCCCCGGGGGGCACCGGGCGGGCAGCAGAGCGCTGCAGCCGCGAGGGGGAGCGCGGGGCGGACGGGCGGGGCGGGGCGGGGCGGGGTTGGGACCGGGGAAGCCGCAGCCCCGGGCGGAGAGGAGCGGTGCGGTGCGGTGCGGGACGCGCACCCGCTATGACCATCGGCGGTCCACGCGGCGGCGGGCAGTCCCGCCTGCAAATGCCGTGCCTGGGCAAGGTGAGCCGGCACCGGGCGGACACGGGGCAGACAGCGGGCGGGGGGCACCGCACTGGGCGTCGGGGTCCGAGGGGAGTAAGTTTGGCTGACCCGGCCCAGAGACAGCTCTGCCGGCTGCGGGGTGCCCCGCGTTCGAGTCGTCCCGGTTCCCCGTGCCCCCGCTCTCTCCGCCGTGGGGCTGAGCGCGGCCGGTGCCCCACAGATGGAGCGGATGATCGTCAGCATGCAGGACCCGGACATGGGCATCAAGATGAGGAACCAGAGGCTGCTCATCACCGTCATCCCCCATGCCATGACAGGTGGGCTATCGCGCCCGGGGCTGTGCGGTGGTGAGGAGGGGAGCGGTGCACGGGAACGGCCCTCGGATGGCACAGCACAGCGGGCGGCTCTCGGCACTCAGAAATGTGCTCAGAACTGCAGCTGGGAGCGATGCCGCGTTGGCTGAGCCCTCCCTGGGGCGGGCGGCTGTGCCCCGTAACCCCGCGTGCCCCCTGGGACCGGGGCACCGCACCGCACCATAGCGCTGCCACGATCCTCAGGGAACGACATCGTGGAGTGGCTCATCCAGAAGTACGGCATCTCTGAAGAGGGTGAGTGCCCGGGGCGGGGCGGGGGTCCCGGCAGTTCGCAGAGCCGCCCGGCAGCCCCCGCTGCCCCCACCCAGAGTCGCTGCACCTCGGCAACCTGATCGTGAGGCACGGCTACATCTACCCGCTCCGGGACCCCCGCAGTCTGGTGCTGCGTGCTGATGAGTCGCCGTACCGCTTCCAGGTGGGTGCCCTCTGCAGTCGGGGTTGCAGCACCAACCCACAGCACCCCAGTGCTGCTCAGCCCGGCCCCTCTCCCCCCAGACCCCCTACTTCTGGACCAGCACCAAGTGGCCGGCCACCGAGCTGGATTATGGTAGGTGCCCACCAGCTGAGAACCCATGGACCACAGTGGGTCCCAGCCCTGCTGAGCGGCTCCGTTCCTCTGCAGCCATTTACCTGGCCAAGAAGAACATTCGCAAGCAGGGCGACCTGATCGAGCATGAGAAGGTGAGTGGTGCGTGTGATGAGCTGTGGGGCCTCAGCTCGCCCGGCGTGGGGCTGCAACAGGGGTGTTGTCCCCTTGCTGGAGCAGCAGTAGGACCCAGGGCTGGGCAAGGGTGCAGGTCCCACTCCGTGCCCACCTGGCTGCTGCTCCCCAGGACAACTACAACCTCCTGCACAAGAGAATCAACCACACGTGGGACTTCGTAGTCATGCAAGCACGGGAGCAGCTGCGGTGAGCGTGAGGACGTGATGGAGATGGCAGTGGGCAGCAGGGATGGGGCGGCCCCCAGCTGCCAACCCCCCACTTCTGCACAAACAGGGCGGCCAAGCAGCGGCGGAAGGGTGACCGCATTGTCATCGACTGCCAGGAGCAGGCCTACTGGCTCGTCAACCGGCCCCCGGTGAGGACAGGCTGGGAGGGACACGGTTGGTGGCAGTGTGCAGTCCGGGCACAGCTGGCTGGGTGTGCTTGGGGGACCCCAGCACATGGCTCTCGTTGCAGCCGGGAGCTCCCAACGTGCTGGAGCAGGGCCCTGAGCGCAGGAACTGCCACACCACCCGCGTGCAGCTGGTGAGCAGAGCTGGACCCACGGGGCTGCCCCACATCCCACCCTACATGGTGACCTCCTTAGCCCTGCTGACGTCCTTGTGTCCCGTTGCCCCCACTGCCATGGCTAAGCAGGGAGGGCTGTGTTTCCCGTGCACCTGCTGCCATCTGTGCCGGTGCTCTAATCCCTGCAGCTGCCCTGGTGTGTGCACTGTGGTACCCTGTGCCCCGCAGCCACCAACCCTCCTTTCTAACTGCTGCGTTTTCTCTTCTCTCCTCCGTGTGCCATGTCATCTGTCCACGTAAGTGTCTCCAGCCCAGGGCCGCTGCCGTGCTGCAGGGGGCAGGAGGTCGGGTTCCTGCTGGGATGTATCAGGGGTGGAGGCAGGGGGAGGCATCCCCCTGGCACAAGGGATACATAGAGAACTCCCGAGCCCTCACCCAGCCCTTCACATCTCTTCCAGGCCAAGAACATGGACTACTACAAGCGAGAGGTGAGTGGAGCATGGGGTAGCCGTAGGGGTGCTGCACGGTGCAGGGCCCTGACGTGTGCCCATGGCTGGCCCAGATCGAGTACTGCAGGAAGGCCATGGCCAGGACCAGGGTGAAATCGTCCATCTGCCTCGAAGGGTGAGCTCTGTCCTGCAGCGGGCTGGCAGCCCCCCTCAGCACATGCCCAATGGCGATGGGCAGAGCCGAGGCCATTGCAGATCCCAGGACTCACCCCTCCCCGTGCTGCCCCCGTGCATCCCCCGAGAGTCAAGGCCACGGTGGGCGGTGAAATGTGGCCCAGTCCCCCAGCCACCCCTCCCTGCAGGTACCTCAAGTTCAACGAGCAGTACGTGCCCCACGACCCCATCATGTCGGGCTGCCTACCCAGCAACCCCTGGATCACCGACGACACCACTTACTGGGCCATGAATGCCCCCACGTAAGTAACCCCCAGGGGGCCACCAGCCCCGGGACGGCTGCAGAGAGAGGACAGAAGCGGCCCTGCTGTCTGGTGGCCATGCCTGCAGCCCCCAGCCCTTCCTGCACGCTGCCCGCAGGGTGACGACCCCCACGAAGCTGCGGGTGGAGCGCTGGGGCTTCAATTTCAGTGAGCTCCTGCTGGACCCGCTGGGCCGCACACAGCTCCTCGAGTTCCTCAAGAAGGAGTTCAGTGGTGAGTGAGCCCTGTCTGCCAGCCAGCCTGCCGCTGCACCTCACACCAACTGCCTCCATGCAGCTTTGCCTTGCTGTTGGGCCCTGCTGGGACCTGAGGAGGGTTTGCCCATGGGTGGTGTCCAGCACCATGGCCTCCCGAACGCCACGTCCCCATTCCAACACCACGTCCCTTCCCCAGCATCAACTCCCATCCCTACACCATGTTCTTCCAACATCACGTCCCTTCCCCAATGCCACCCCCACATCTGAACACCGCATCCTCTCCCCAACACCACTATCCTCTACGACACCACGTCCTCCTCCTCGATGCCACGTCCCCATCCCGACATCACGTCCTCCTCCTCAACACCGCATCCTCTTCCCCAGCTGAGAATCTGAGCTTCTGGGAGGCATGCGAGGAGCTGCGTTACGGGGAGCAATCCCGCATCAATGAGATCGTGGACTCCATCTACCAGTGAGTGCCATGTGGCAGCAGGGCCGGGTCCTCGGGATGAGGCCATCCCAGCCCTCCATCCCAGCGTGGGGCCGGGCCAGGCTGGGTGCTGGTCACCTGCTATCGATCCCCAGGCAGTTCCTGGCTCCGGGAGCCACGCGCTGGGTGAACATCGATAGCAAAACCATGGAGCGGACGCTGGAGGGCATCAAGACGCCCCACCGCTACGTGATGGACGACGCACAGATGCACATCTACATGCTGATGAAGAAGGTGGGTACCGGGCGGGCAGTGCTGGGTTCAGCCTCGGCCTGATGCTCTGCTCCTCCAGGACTCCTACCCACGCTTCCTTAAGTCGGAGCTGTACAGGAACCTGCTGGCAGAAGCCGTCATCCCTCCGGAAACCAAGAAGCGGTGAGGGCAGTGCCGGGGTGCCGTGGTGCTGAGGGTCCCCGCGGTGCTCAGCCCAGCTCTGCCTGCAGGGTGTTCCCTTTCATGCGCAAGCAGCGGCACTCCAGCCCCAGCCCTGCTCTGCTCCTGCCTGCTGGTGACACCGAGGCCAAGGGTGAAGAGAAGAGCAGGAGTCCTGCAGCTGTGCCCGAGGAGGAGAGCTAGGCCCTGCCACGGCACCCTGCCCGCAGTAGCACTGAAGGAGAGAAGCCATACATCCCCTGCAGACCCCGCTCGCTGCCCCCAGATCCTTCCTACCCCAGAGGGAGCTGGCGCACGGCCTGCCCCACGGGGCAATCACAACACATGCAGAAATAAAGGATCCCGTGGGGAAAGCGGTGTGGTTTTCATGGTGTTGAGCAAGGGGTGACACGGGAGTGCAGGAGGGATCCCTGCAGCCCTGCGTGCACCTCCAGCTGCCTGCATCCCCAGCGTGCAGCGGCACCTGGAGCTGGGTGCAGCGGGATGGCAACAAGCGAGGGATGCAGAGGCCCCGTGGGCTGGCAGGGGCAGGCAAGGATGGTGGCTGGCAGCTGAGCTGCTCTGCCTGCCCGCCACCCCTTAATCTGAGCAGAGCCCGAGGATCTCACACAGGATTATTCTCTTTCCCAGAGCTGAGCCCCAGCTGTGGGGGGATTAATAGCGGCCATTATATAAACATGAGGCAGGCTCATGCCCTTTGGCACTCAGCCTTGGAGCTGAGCACAACCACAGGGCAGCGTGGGGTCATCCCCAGCCCATTAAGCACCAAGGGGGGGCCAGCCTGCGCTGTGACTACTGACAAACCGTGCAGATGTGCGGGATCAGGAACCCTCCCCTGCTGCTGATGTAGCCCCATCACAAAGTGGCTGCTCGCGGCTCAGCTTGGTGCTGGGGCATAAAAAGGCCCTGGGGTGAGGTGCTGGGGAAGCTGCAGGAGCCTTAGTGGTGGGATGGAACCTGGGACCTCAGTGCTGGCAGCCACGGGGCAGTGACAGATGGTGCCACGCTCCAGGAGACACTGCGTGCTGCACAGCTTCCTCTGGCTTGATCCAAATCCAAGCCCTGGAGAGAGATTTTCATGCTGATGGACTGCAGCAGGAATCTGGGGTGTAAAAGCAGGTCAGCGAGTCCCAGGCAGGGGGAAGGGACAGGCCAGCCCAGCTCTGTTACCTAACTGCTTTTGCAGGGTCCAGCATCCTCACTGCTGCAGCAGGAGAGCGAGGGGTCTGCAGTGCCACCCCAGAGGTGCATTTGCAAGGACAGCTCTTCAGAGTGGCTCTAAGGGGCCAAGAGGCCCTTTTTTCCAGCAGCACGGTGCTCCTCTCTGCCAGAAGGGAAGAGCAACCGCTTCAGTATCAGCTCACTTCTTCCTGCTCACCTCTGGCCTGACACCAGCACAGCTGGCTGGGCTGGCACATCCCAGCTGCTCCCTGGGGTTACACCGTGCTCAGGGTAAGCGTGAGCACCAGAACAAAGGGGAGAGGCAGGCACCACCTCCACATGTGGGAGCATCACAAGGACACCGGGTCCCTCCCACAGAAGGGGTTTTCTGCCTTTGGGAAGTCACACTCCATTCTTGCCTAACTTCGGCTCTTCGTTAGCAGCAACAACAGAAGCAGGGCACCATTTACAAACAATGCAAAAGAGGATTTATTGAAACCATTACAGTTAGACCAAGTCCTATACAGCACAATTTGCAATAAGTTAAAGAACCCAACAGTCTTAGTGTTAAAAAACACACTAATGCATAACACAGTGATATAATGCCATCATCACCCATCTGAGTTATTGAATCAAGGCACGAAGTCATTCATTAAGTACTGCGGAAAACAATTACACAGGGAAAGAAGCTGGAAAAAGGACTCGTTAAGAAGGTGCTGGTTTGGCACTGATTCATTTAGTTGAGCTGCCACAGGGAACTCTGGGTCTCCAAAGTATTTGGAAACACAAACAGACAACTTAAAGCCAGAAAAGCCCCCCAGAACTGAAAACCCAGCATAAGGGACGTTCAGTGTTACCGACTGGAAAAGTCAGGTCTGAGTTGAGAGCTGAGGATGAAGGACAGTGTCATTCCATTGAGAATACAGCCCAGGTACGTCGCTCCCACCCACAGAACTGCAGTGGGACCCGACCTGCAGCACTCAGCCCTGGGCCACGGTGCAGGCGCATCCTTCAGGCAGCCCCAGGGCCACCTGACAGCAGCACCAGGTGCCCACGCCAAGCACTAAACAGAGATGCTCCTAAGGGTGCAAACTCCACGCTAAGCTGTGCGTTTTCTGCCCACCTTCTTCTCAGCAATCAAATGGACACCAGTGTATAAACTGTGGTTGCGTCTCAGTGCAGCTGGTGCAGGGACAGCAGCTTTCAGGACCAGGCAGCCTACTCAAAATCTTTTCCAGGCTTTGCACGTTGCTTCTGCAGCCTGCACTGGTGCCCAGCAGGGCATACATCTCACCATGAAAAGCCTCCAAGTGAGACATCACCTCCACACAGCAACCCATTCTCTCTCTGGGGACACCAGGCTGGCCCCTGAGAGCCAACAACCTGGACTTCCTCACCCAGCATCACTTCAACCTGGGGCGAGGAGGCAGCACACAGCTCTCCACGGAGCTGTGCTGCATAAATAGCTCCTGTAGTTTCACCAAGTCTTGCAACACGCTCACCTCCTGGCACAGGGGACCATACTCAGATGGGCACCACAGCAGCTGTAAGGTTGCAGGAGCATTTGCAGGACAGCTGGCATTGCCACTGTGGAACAGGACTCCCAGGAACAGCAAGCCAAGCTCCCAGGAAAGGTTAAAGTGCAATTCCACTGTTAAAAAAATGGCCTAGATCCTCTTGCACCTTGAAACCAAGAGGAGAGGTGATGTCCGTACCTGCGGGGACCAGTCAGCCTAGGCTGGTTTTCATATCCCCTATAAACACAACGGGGTGAGGGGAACGTTGGTGCATAAGTCAGGTAGGAGACCAGCTCCCTTTTGGTGTCACCAGTGCTGCACAGCCTGGCTGGAAAGGAAGTAGCACAGAAAACACAGGCAGGCTTGTGACTGCAGGGGGAGGCTCACGGGGCTGCTCTTAGGAGAAAAGGTCATTTTCTAAGTAGAATGACACTTCAATCTGCGTTCTTCTGCTGGCCCAGGTAAGACCTAGCCCAGTCACAAGGCTGGAGTCTAGCACTGCACATACCCACTACTGAAGCAGGGGCCCAAATTCAGGAGAGTGTAACTGTGATCAGCCTGCAGCCAAGCACCTCTCCAGCAGCCAGGACAGCTGACTCAGAAAGGAAATCTAACACCACACACAGAAGCTCCACTTCTCATGCAAGCACCCAAGAAACAATCAGTGCAGGCATCCCCAGAGAGCACGTTTTCCTCCACCTACAGACTGAGCCAGCACAGTTCTGTGGGCACAAAAAAATGAAGGGGAAAGCCCTCATCCCTGAGCTCACGACACTTCAGTGGTGGCCAAGCACTGAAGTCCCATCAGCTCTGACAACGGATGCACTGGCAGCTGCTCCCTCATCCTGGGCATACCCAGGCAGTGGGGGGTGCTTCCCTGCCAGCCATGCTTTGGTTTGCGGATCGACAAAGGCAGCTTCCCATTTGAATCCACGATCTGGGTTTGCTAAGAGCACTGCTGCAGAGGAGAAGCAGCCTGCAGACTCTCCTGGTCTCCTGGCAAGCTCACGCTCTGCTGTGGTACCGCATCCTGTAAAGGCGGTCACGGATGTACTGCTCACTGTCCACAGCCACCTGGCTCAGCCAGATCACTCTGCTCTCAGAGACGTCCTCCTTCAGCTTACGCTTCATCACAGACACCAGCCCAGGCTCCTCGCCGGGCTGAGGCCCCCTCACCAGCACATAGCAGGCGTGACGGCTGCGCTCGAACAGCGTGGCTGTGACAGAGCAGAAGGAACAGCCCAGCATAAGATGGCTGCCACGAGCCCAGCACCACGCGCCCAGCATCCTGGAGGCAGCAGCAGGAGTCCTCCTGCACCTCCTTGCCAAAGGGGGAGAACTCACCATTGAAGGCAATTATCTGATCTGTGCTGTTGCGGAGCTCCAACAGGACGTTAGTGTAGGAAGGATGGAAAAGATACAGCTTCTGTAGAGGAGCTGCTGACGTCTGTAACCAACAAGACATGCTCAGAACACAGTAATCCCAAATACCAGGCTCAGCCATTATTTCGTGTTCAACAGAGTGCATCCAGTCGGTTACCTGTGCATGGCCAACATAACAGTGCTGGCACTTTATTGCCTGCGTGGTGCCTGACCTTCCTGCGAACAACAGGCCTGTCTGCTGTGTGCAAGAGACAGATTTGCCCCAAGGCTGACAAACTCAGCAAGAAAAGCACAGGAAGTTCAGCTGGTGTTCAGGCATCCTCCAAGACGCAAACTGTCACCACCACTGCCAGCCACTGCTCCAAGCAGGGCTCTGTCACACAGCTGAGCAGCACACAAGGGCCACCAGAGACTGCCTTGGAGCACAGAGAGGACATTAATGTGGCCACGAGACATCACTGCGTGCAGTACTATTGCAGAGGCTGCAGGTCAAACAGCAGCAGATTCAGAGGTACTAAGCCAGCAGCCTCTCAACTCAAATACAGCAGCACACGGAGGCAAGGCTATGGGCAATCCAGTGCCTTTGCTCACACAGACAATAAGTCCATTTTCTCTATGCAGCCAGGCTGAGGATGATGAATGTTGCTGGTGCCACACTAGCTGCTAGCAGGAACACTGCCATGGACACTGTGAGGACCAGCACAGACCAGAGCACATGCCTGCCACATGCAGACCAGGCTGATCAGAGACTGTGGATAGTCCACAGTCTGCACAGAATGATGCAGTTAGGGGAACACAAGGAACTGAATGTGAACACTGGGAAAACGGGGTGGCTCCAGACAATTCTGACTCTGAGTCCAGAAAAAAGCAGCCACTCAGCAGCACTACTCACCGTTTCATTTCCTGCTACTTGGTATTCACCCCAGATGAGGAAGGTGGACCGATGATCAGCAGTAGAAAGTGTGGCTGGCCTGGGGCTCTTTGCTCCAGAGTTCAGCTTCAGCTCCCATTGGACTGCTCCAGATCTACCCTCAACAATCATAACCTAGCAGGGAAGAAAGAAAAGGAACACGTATCAAAGAGCTCCGTGAGCTGCGAGTAAGAGGTCAAGGCAGCTGTCTCTGTCCCACACTGCCTAAAGGAACAAGTATCTGACACACGGGAAGACAAGGAGACACCTGAAGCTGAGCTTCTACTTGATCACAGAGCTGTGAGACCTGGGGTGGACCACGTTAGAGTGAAGTCACAAGTCTTGCAAGTTATTTCAAGAGGTTCAAAGCTCTGTCATCGAA